GTGGGATACTAATGGTGTGAGAGATAGTGTGTGTGCAAAGTGCCCCACTCAGAAGTCAGTATATGGAGGCTGCTCAGCTGCTGTCACTCCACCACTCTCCTATGAGTAGTGCCATTCGTTACTACCTGGCACCATATGTGAACATTGAATAATTGTTGGGAAGGTCATCCAGTGTCCTTTGTGTATTACCAACATGTGGCTTCAAGAGAGGGATTGGCACATGTAACTGCCTCAGACGGAAGAAACTGCCTCCTACCTTCCCTGAGAGCCTAGAGTTAGTTAGCCACCACCACCCATCCTCACATGTAGACTTCCCATGGGGCCCTCACTTTAAGAACCCAGAGTGGGTTCACCAATCTTGACTCTCCACTGGCATCCTGGCTGCCTGCTGAGGAAACCCCACTCCTTAAGAGGTTGTGTGTGTGTGTGTGTGTGTGTGTGTGTGTGTGTGTGTGTGTGTGTTTGCTGCACTCACCTTCCTTCCTCAGCCCCTCCCCCTTTGTGAGTTACAGTTTTCCTCACCACTAAAGAAGACTAAATCAGGTATGCTTGAAGAATTATGCAGTTTTCATTGTTACAACTAGCAATATAAAGGGCATAGCATTTTCATAAATATATACTCAACATAGAATAAAAATGAAAGCTGTCCAATCAGAACTCAGCACATTTCAGACCTAAGTCAGAAGTGCCCCAGTTTTTAGGACACCCACCTTTCACACCAGAATTGTGCTGACTGCATCTCACTTCTGTGATTTATGGCAGGTTTCCAATATTAGGATATTAAATTATATGGAGATTGTGTCCCAATCCCCTGATTGATTCCAAGTGAATTTGAGTCACAGCAGCTTGAAAAGTAACTTTTTTTTTTTTTTTTTGGTCTCTTTATGACTTAATACCATGGAGAAATAAATGTGCAGCCACAGCCACACACAAGGTCCCCACAGATGCAGGGGCTGCCTTCACTGGGAATCCTTTCTCTGGTAGTAATTTTAAGAGAGCAGTTCATAACTCAAAATCAGTTTGTCCATAATTCTCAATTAAGGGACCACAGAAGCATGTCAACCACAGATGCCTGAAGAACAAGCAGAATGGCGATTTTGCCTCACTCCTGGAAACTCCACGACCATCAATGGCACACCAGTGTGTTCCTTTCCACTGTTGAGTATGGATCAGAAACTGCTCAAGCCAAGGCAGTAAAATTTCTAAGGAGGCATCACCGCCATGGGATTACCACTTCTGAGGAGGTTTCACAGGCTATAGGTGTGAATGCCATAGGATCACCACTTGGACACAGCTTGCACATTGCAGAGTTCAGATGCCAGCACAGAACTGGGCCCCAGGCCAGCAACGAGCAGCTGGGCCTGTTCTGGAGAAAGGCTGTTGGGAGGTAGCCCAGGCTGCAAGCTTGTTAACATTCTTCTGCTTCTCTCCAGATGTCTGTGCTACCCATGGGGGCGCTATTGTTAGCATTCACCTTAGGTAAGGAGTCAGCTGTAAGTCAGAAATGTGCCCAAGCCCCAAATAAAGTTGAACCTGAGTCTGCAAGTATCTGAGATCTGGCTCTGTGTTGATTTCTAAACCTGCTTGGGCCTCTCTTTCCTCATTTGGACCATGGAAATGGTGCAAGGCCCGGGGCTGTTGGAGGAAGTACCAGGATGAAGAACAAAACGGACCTCTCCTTTCTGTCCCTCCAATCCTTAACAAGGCTTGCACAGAAAACATGTTCAGATTCAAAATGCCCCGGCTTGGCTTAGAGTCAGAAAGACACAGAATTTCCTACTGCCCACCTCACCAGGCTTCCCGCAAGCCCAGTTTTGGTCTGCAGAAGCTCTCCCATTGTCCACGGCCTCTCCCTCCTGTTTCTGTGCCAAGAGACCCTGGGGAAGCATGGTGTTCATGGCACATGTATACACAGGGGAAGCTTGGTGTTCATGGCACATGTATACACAGGGGAAGCTTGGTGTTCATGGCACATGTATACTCAGGGGAAGCACGGTGTTCATGGCACATGTATACTCAGGGGAAGCACCGTGTTCATGGCACATGTATACTCAGGGGAAGCACCATGTTCATGGCACATGTATACTCAGGGGAAGCACGGTGTTCATGGCACATGTACACATGGTGGCAGTTGGTACAGTCAGTTTCAGGTGTTCGCTGGGTTTATGGCTGTCTTGTTCATGGGTAAGAGGGGCATCTGAATACAATGTAAACTTCACCTGTAATGAGCATTACAGACAGCTTCAGTTAGCATTGTCCCATATCCATGCACACACAGTATAATGCTTTGGTCCCATAAGTTGCTTTTAAAAAAAAAAAAACAAAACTGTAATCCACATTATGAAATTCTCTCTTTCAAAGTAAAATTCAGTGATTTAAATATTTTCTCTATTATTATTATTTCTTATTTTACATATAGATCCCAGTTCCCTCTCCCTCCCATCCTTCTGTGCTCCCCTGAAGATCCCTCCTACCCCATTCCCCACCCACTCCACAGGGAGGGTGAGGCCTTCCAGGAGGGATCACTAAAATCTGTCAAGTCATTTGGAGTAGGGTCTAGCCCCCCCCCCCATACACACACACCTCTAGGCTAAGGGAGTATCCCTCCATGGAGATGTGCTCCCAAAGTCCTTTTATGCACCAGGTTCCACTGTCTGAGATTCCTTAGACTGCCCAGGCCTTCTAACTGAGACCCACGTTCAGGGGGTCTGAGTCGGTCCAATGCTGGTTTCCCAGCTGTCAGTCTGGGGGGCCCATTAGCTCTCCCTTGTTCGGGTCAGCTGTCTTTGTGGGTTTCTGTAGCCTGGTCTTGACCCCTTTGCTCATCACTCCTCCCTCCCTGCAACTAGATTCCAGGAGTTCAGCTTAGTGTTAGCTGTGGGTGTCTGTTTCTGTTTCCATCAGCTACTAAATGAGGGATCTAGAATGGCATATAAGGTAGTCAGTCATTAATCTCATTATAAGGGAAGGGCATTTAAGGTAGCCTCTCCAATTCTGCTCAGATTGTTAGTTGGGGACATTTCTTTAGTGTCAGTCTCCTCTTCAAACCTATAATGGATCCCTCTATTATGGTATCTCTTTGCTTGCTCTGGTCTATTCATCCCCAGACTCAATCTTCCTGGTCCCTCATGTTCTCCTCTCCCCTCCTCTTCTCCCCTTCTCTTTATTCTAACTCCCTCTCCATTGCCCCCCTCAGGTTATGCACCACCACCATTATCTAGGAGCTGGCCATTTTTATTTAGCATTTCACAGAGAATCCCTGTACTCATAGCACCAGTCCTACTCCTGCCATCCTCTGTCAGGAATCTAGTGTTGGGCTCTAACTCTGCTTGCTCTGGACATTTTGTACACATGGGGTCTTATGTTTTATGGCCTGTTGTCTGTCTTCTCTCACCTAGATTTCATTAATACTGTAGTCAGAACTCATACCTTGTTCCTCTTTATGTCTGAACACTGTAGTATGAATAGACATTTAGTTCATCCCTACATGTAAATGTGTGTTTTCCTTCCTCTTGGGTCTTTATCTGAAGTGAAGTCTCCGGCTCGTGTTAGCTGTACTCTAACATTTCTGAGGGACTGCCAGTGTCCACAGCAGCACTGCATGAGAGTTCTCATATCTGGAGAGACATATGAATGCTTGTTGTTTTCTGACTGTTTTGTAAAGACATCCTACTGCATGTGAAATTCATCCCCCATGCCCCATTCTAGATATGTCTTTTATTTTACCTTCAAGTGTCAGATGAGCTTAGGTATAGAGTTTGAGGCCCCTGGCTCCTGCTCCCAGTGTTTTGAAGATGCCAGTCCTTTGGCCTGATTGTCGATTGTTGTCTACTGTAATAGTGTCACCATGTTTTCTCTCTGTGGGTGTTTATTCCCCTCCTCTTTGATGTCCCACAGTTTTACTGTGCTATATATCAGTGTGGAAATTGGTGTTTCCTCCTCAACAGTCTTTCTCTGAGGACCCATGTCTTCATCCTTTCTAGAAAAGTTTCAGATAATATTCTCATTCTTTTCTGTATTATTTCCTCCTTTCTCTTTTTCCAGTTTCTGTTCCTAATCTCCCAAACACCTCTTAATTCTCAGGGTTCCATGTTCACTACTTTGTATCTGGTGTGTTCCCTGACTTGTTTCCTTGATCCTTTTCTGCTGTCCGCTCAATTCTGTTTTGATTGTTATCTAGTAAATTTACTCCATGTGTTTTATTGTGAGTTTTTAGTGTCGCTTTCAATGTGTATCTTAATACACTGTTTCTGAGTTTTCATTGTTTCCTGTTATTCAATTTTTGTCTGTTTTGCATCAACGGGTCTTGTTTTTATGGGCCTAAATCTTTCTTAAGAACTCTGATATCCTTGCCAGGCCCTTTTGGTAATTACTTACCCCTGGAGTGAACTCCTGCCCTGATTGAGCTATCTAGACTGCCTGCCTTTGCAAGAAATGTCTTCAAGGGCTGGAAGATGTTTCCTTCTTCTTTCTTCTGGTGAGTAATCAGGACTTTCTGTTTTTCTTCTGGCCTCATGCTCCCTGTCTGGTGGTTTTGGTTACCTCCCCCACCCCCAGCACAAACATACCACACCTGACTTTTTCATCACCATTTAGAGAGACACTATGAAATCTGGAACCTGAGCCTGAATCTGCTGTCCTTGCTGTCCTTTCCAGAACCTCAGGTTGTGATATCCAAGCTCAGAGGTATTCTGGATAATTCCTAGGTATATGTATATGTGCTTGTGTGCAAGCCTGCAATGAGAATTGCACTTGGGCCTCCCACGTGCTAATGAATTGACTTACACACTCTACTGCTGAGCTACACTCCCAGCCCCATGACTGCTACACTTTAAGGAACTTGGTGAACTCATTGTTAATGAGCTACTTTTGAAAAGTTCAATTAATGCATTCTCCATCAGTTAGCATTAATGTTAATATTCACAGAATCTAACTTTGGCACCCACAGGTAACCTACATGAATGTCCTAGGCCTCTCTAATATCTCTCCCTTCTCTGCAGGTGTCAGAGCTGTGTTCTCGGGCCACTACCACAGGAATGCTGGGGGGAACCTACCAGGATCTTGACATGGTAGTTTCATCTGCTATCGGGTGCCAGCTAGGCAAAGATACCCATGGGCTCCGTGTGGTGGTCATCACTGCTGAGAAAATTGTTCACCGTTACTACAGCTTAGATGAGCTCAGCAAGAGAGGAATTGATGATGACCTAAAGGAGCTGATGGAGTGATTCCCCACATAATCCACCCAGTCTTCATGCCAAAATGTTTACAGCCCCTCATAGCAATGTCTGAGTAGACAGGCAGGTTTGTGAATTGATGTCCTTTTATATAATCCAAAGTGCTGGGTCCTATCCCTTAATGATATGCAGAAGGGACTGTCTTTTTTAAAAATCCAGGAAAGAAGGCTATGAATGTTTCTCATTGTGATGCGAGCCTCTCCACATGAGCCTCTCCACATGCATATGGCTCTCACCCTGCCCTTCAATCCCACTGTCTGATGTTGACAGTCAGTACCTACCTCCTGCCCTCCATCCAGTTCCGTGCTCACGTGTGATCACTGTGCATCTGCTTTTGTTAAACTGTGACCATGACTCCCAGAATGCTGGGAAAACAAAGGTTTCTCCTCCCATCCAGGCAGACCAAATTATCACTCCATCCCAGGGCCACAGATTCCCCATAACAGGGAGCTTCATAGCCACCACTGGCTGTGAACTTCAAGACCTCTGTTACTACTGTTTGTATGAGCACAGGTGGTCCACATGAGAGTGTGTTTGCCCTTCTGATGATAGATGTCACCTTCATGTGTAGATGACCAGAACAGAGGCTGCAACAGAAGGCCCTGGACAGCCCATGTACCTGCCCTGTCTGTATTCTTCTGCTGCAGGCAGCCCACAGATCACAGTGAACCTGATGGGAAACTGGACTTGCTGCAGACTTCTCCTGAAAACAATACAGAACTGTCCCTAGGAAAACTGCACTGTGTTAATTGCCACTGACATACAATGCTCCTGGACAAAAAAAAAAAAAAAAAAAAAACAGTGTGAGTTACTTAAAATCCTCTTCACTGTGGAATCTGCTCTGCTGCCTTCTCTGGGAGCCCTGACCTCTGAGACTCTTCCTCCATCAATCTTCTGGTGTGATACTCAAGTAACCAGGGCTCTATATCCTGCTGCAGAAGTTTTCAGTGTTCTGCAGTGACATGAGGGAGTCCTAAACCAATTTTAAAAACTCATAAATGAACCACAAATCCCATTTTTAAAAAATCTTGTTAAAAAGTTTTAGTCAATGTAGAAAAACCATGAGAAATTAAATAAAAAGATAATTGGATATATAAATTCATATGGAACAAAAGATACAAGAAGTTAATTATGCTACAGATTGATGACACACCAGAGCTTATTGTTAGGTAGCACAAGAAAATTAAACTTTTCAAATAAGAATGATCTTGTAGAGCTTGGGTTATGTTCCTGTTTGTTTCCATTTTTCTTTATATCAGGATGTAAGAGGTCAGGAGAGGAGGGGGATGAGGGGCATAACTAATAGTCCAATTGTTCCAGACTGAGTACTACAACCCCTGGGCTCAAAAACGTGTGGGCTTGACTCCATGATGGGAGAAAGTTTAATTACAGTGGGCTGAAGGCATGTCCTTTGTCCAAGATCCATATAAAAAAATACATCAGCCCCAGAATGGGGACAAGGATATGGTATGAAGCAATGGAAATGAAATAAATCCTTGTCCTCAAACACAGAAATTAAAGAGCTGATTCAGAAACCTGAGAATATACTAAAGAAAGGAATGGCATGGCATTTCCATTCTTCAGTGGAGCAGCAATATCAAGGTGGGGCTCGCTGCTATGGGGAACAAATGCATATCCATCTAACTAAAATGGCATGTCACTATTCTGTTCACTCATATGCCTTTTTAAAAAAAGAATCTCATTAAAGGAAATATAATAAAAGATTTTCTACATGAACGTGCTGTGTTTTTTTTTTTTTTTTAATTTTTTTGGGGGCTATCTCTGATGTTTTAGCTCTGGAAGGCCCAGGCTCATTCCAAGTGTTAGAAACTAGCAGCCAGCTGACCCCCGCCCCTAACGGGATGCTCATGGCCCTGTCATCGCTACATCAAGCTTTACCTGGCTGCCAGAGGACTCAGTTACACATGCGCAAGCCCCCCTTTTAAAGCAAGCACTCCTCTCTCTCTGTCTGGATTCTCTCTCTCTCTCTCTCTCTCTCTCTCTCTCTCTCTCTCTCTCTCTCTCCCTCCCTCCCTCCCTCCCCCCCCCTCCCTCCCTCCCTCCCTCCTGCTTTCCCTTGGCCACCAGCTACCCCCTTTCTCTCCCCTCTCTCAATAAACTCCACGTGGGCGCTGAATCTCGTGTTTGTGTTTCTTAGGCATTAGGTGCATCAAAAGAACAACACCAAGGACATGGAAGGACAGGAATTCAGGCAGCTCCATCCTCAAGCAGAACACATGCATCAGTTGGGACATGATTCCTTGCTGCTGTGGTGGTTTTGATTTGGGAGTGGCTTGTCCTCAGATGACAAGGTCTTAGTGGATGGCTCTTAGGTCATTCTTGGGCCAGTTGCTCTCTGGCTTCCTACCTTACAGAGTGGTCTCTGGCCATCGTAGTGTCATCTACCAAGAAGCCTTTAACAGAGCCACCATACCTGCCCTTGAAGGCACAGAACAATGATGTAAACCTCTTTGCTTTATGCAGTACCCAACCTCATGTATCTCATTATAGAAATACACTAATACTTACATTATAGAAATACACTGTACTTACAGTTACAATCCCCACAGATTCAGAAATGCTAGTTCTTTATTATTTTTCTTATTTTACATATCCCAGTTCCCTCTCTCTCTCTCCTTCCCTCCCTCCCTCTCTCCTACCCTCCCAAGCTTGCTGACCACCCTCCCCTCCCATCCCCTCGATCCACTTGTAGGGTGATACCTTCCAGGAGGGGTCATCTAAATCTGTCAAATCATTTGGAGAAGGGACTAGGCCCTCCCTCCTGCCTCTAGGTTAAGGGACTATCCCTCCATGGGGAATGTGCTCCAAAGTCCTTTTATGCGCCAGGGATACAGAGGTCCCTCAGACTGCCCAGGAATTCTAACTGAGATCCGTGTTCAGGGGGGTCTGAGTCAGCCCCATGGTGGATTCCCAGCTATCAGTGGGGGGGGGCATTAGCTCCTCCTTGTTCAGGTCAGCTGTCTCTTTGGGTTTCTGTAGTCTGGCCTTGTCCTCCCTCTCTGCATCTGGATTCCAGTTCGGCTCAATGTTTAGTTGTGGGTGTCTGCTTCTATTTCTGTCAGTTACTAGATGAGGGCTCTATGATGGTAGATAAATTAGTTATCAATCTCATTATCAGGGAAGGGCATTTATGATAGCCTTTCTACTGTTGCTCAAGTTGTTAGTTGGGGTCAGTCTTGTAAGTTTCTGGACATTTCTCTAGAGTCAGTTTTCTGTTCAAACCTATAATTGCTCCATTTTTATTCTCTCTCTCTCTCTCTCTCTCTCTCTCTCTCTCTCTCTCTCTGTCTGTCTGTCTGTCTCTCTCTCTCTCTCTCTCTGCCTCTCCTCTCCTCTCATCTCATCTATTCATCCCCTGATTCAATCTTCCTAGTCCCATATGCTTTCCTTTCCTCCCCTTCTCTTTCTCCTAGCTCCCTCTCCACTCACTGACCCCCACCAATATGCTCAAGAGATCTTGTTCCTTTCCTCATCTGTGAAGGACCTTGTATGAATCTCTTACAAGAGATTCCTCCTTGTATCCTAGTTTCTCTGTCGGTGTGAATTATAGTCTGGTGCTCCTTTGCTCTATGTCTAAAATCCATATATGGGTGAGTTCATACCATATTCCTCTTTTTGTGACTGGATTACCTCAATCAACCTTCTTCAAGTCCCATCCATTTGCCTGTGAATTTCAAGATTCCAATGCCCCCCCCACTGAGTAGTATTCCATTGTGTAGATGTGCCACATCTTCTTTATCCATTGTTCAATTGAGGGGCATCTAGGTTGCTTCCAGGTTCTTGCTATTACAAATAATGCTGCTATGAACATAATTGAGCACAAGTCTCTGTTGCATGGATGTGGATCATTTGGGTATATGCTTAAGAGGGGGATTGCTGGGTCCTGTGGTAGACTGATTCCCATTTTCCTGAGGAACTGCCATACTGATCTCCAAAATGGCTGTACAAGTTTGCACTCCCACCAGCAGTGGAAGATTGGTCCCCTTTCTCCACATCCTCTCCAGCATAATTTGTCATTGGTGTTTCTAATTTGATTCATTCTGGCAGGAGTTGTTTTGATGTACATTTCCCTGATAACTAAGGATGTTGAGCACTTTCTTAAGTGTCTTTCAGCCTTCTTGATTTCCTCTATTGAGAATTCTCTATTCAGTTCTATACCCCATTTTTAATAGGGTTACTTAGTGTTTTGTTGGCTAGTTTCATGAGTTCTTTGTATATTTTGGAAATCAGTCCTTCTTTTGTCAAATGTAGGGTTGGTGAAGATCTTTTCCCAGGCTGTGGGCTGCCATTTGGTCTTGTCCACTGTGTCCTTTGCCTTACAGAAGCTTCTCACTTTGAGGAGGCCCCATTTATTAATTGTCGATCTCAGTGTCTGTGCTACTGGAGTTATGTTCAGGAAGCAGTCTCCTGTACCAATTTGTTCAAGAGTACCTCCCACTTTCCCTTTAAGAGGTTCACTGTGGCTGGATTTATGTTGAGGTCTTTGATCCATTTGGACTTGAGTTTTGTGCATGGCGACAGACATGGGTCTATCTGCAGTCTTCTACACACCATCATCCAATTGTACCAGCACCATTTGTTGAAGATGATTTTCTCCTTCCATTATATACTTTTAGCTGTTTTGTCAAAAATCAGTCATTTGTAGATGTGTGGGTTAATGACAGTATTTTCGATTCGATTCCATTGGCCTACCTGTGTATTTTTGTGCCAATACCAGGCTGTTTGAAGGACTATAGCTCTATAGTAGAGCTTTAAGTCAGTTCTTGCTCCCTTCCTATTAGTCTCATTAATTAGAAAGTCAAGGGGCCACTAAAACTGAAAAGTTATTTAAAGTGGTCTCAAATTGTTTGTGGAGGAGGTTAGCTAAGTGATGATCATCTTAACTGCAGTATACAGGTTGGAAGGGTATGCGGGTGAGGAGGGAATGAACTGTGTGTCTACCAAACAGAACACACTGCATATCTTAAACATCCGTCTTAGGGGAGTGTCAGCTGCAGATAGATAACTACAAGGCAAAAGACTGGTTCTAAGCCCAAACAAATGCCTAGGACCATTTGTCTCACAATTCTAGATGGTACATACATGGTATGGTTCTAGAGCAAAATCTTTGAAGAAGAGGCAGCAGAAACATGTTTTGCCTGGACTTGAACTCTCCATTATTACCCTCTAAGCAGAGTCTGTGGCAGCTCTGCAGTTGCAGAGTGGGCATGGTAGTGCTTTGAGCCAGGAGCAGGCTCTGTGAATGCTTCCCAGAGTAGACACTGAGGGAAGACATGTTCTTCTCACATAACCATAGCAACTGGCTGCACAGGCCAAAAACCATTTTGGCTGGTGGTTTTTTATACAT